TTTCCTGTCTCAGCCTCTTGAGTGCTGGGATTACAGGTGTGCCCAGGGCTGACTGACCCTCAGTTTTTAACTGTAAAATGGAAGTAATATTAATGTCTGCAAAGAAGTTTGTTGTGAGTGGGAAGAACCTCAGTTCAAACACTTAACATGATAAGTTTTTCTCTCAACAGTTATTGTTTTTGCTGTTATAAACTGGGCAGTAGCAACATTATGTGTGGCTCCTTTGGAAGGAAAGATTCAAAATAATTTAGAGAAATAATAATTAAAAACTTAAGTAGTAACTCATAACAAATATAATTGTATTCCCTATAGATAATAGGTTTAGAGGAAATTATGCTTGTGTATATTTAGAGAAAGAAGATTACTTTAAAAGTATGGGATGAGGACACAGCTTATGGCAGAATTCTTGCCTAACATATTAGAGGTCCTAGGTTTGATCTGTAGCACTGGGGTTTTGGGTGGAGAAGCAATAGTAATAGGAGTAATGAAAAACAGAATGATTACAAACACAGTCTGAGCCCAGAGGGCAGAATTTTGGGAAAATATGAATTCATGAAGCAAGATCTTCACATAAAAGCAAGGTCTACACATAAAACCCTTTTTATTTTACACACAGATTCCTCTTTCAACATTTCCAGAAGCTACCTCAAAAACTCATTAGGAGCTAGGACTTCCTGGATATTCTCCAAGCTTTTCCTCCCGCATTTAAGCCCCCAGGGAGCAGAGGCTCTAGACTGAAATGAGAGGACTTGTTCTGGAAATCTTGGTAGAACTGGCCGGGTGACAGGCAGTGAAGTCTGGAGTATACATTTTGTTCACAAGTCCCTTTGAAGAATTAGGCCTTAGAAGAGTCATATGTATGTGATACTTGAAATTACCCCAACTCCAGCACAGTTTAGATTCTGTGTTTATTTATTGACTGCCTGTTTTGTATCTTAAAACCACCCCGAAAATTCCTTGGCCTGTGAATATGCAGTTCTGTTCTCGGCTCAGACAAAGTGGCTTTGCTTGTGTGGTTTGGAAAGGTTTCCACTTCTGCTTGTTTTCAGAGTGATGAGGCACTGCCTCTGAAGGTCAGAGAAGTCATGACACATTGTGGGTTCGCTCATCGCTGCTGCCTTCATGGTGAGTTCAGAAGAATATGATGCAGTCAGTCCAGTCAGCTATGGGCATGATGTCCTGCGGCAGAACATCTGGGTTTCCCTACAGGTGTAATTGGTATGAAGTGAGTCATTAGTCATCACATTTTCTGGAAGAGTCAGAAGAGAATGAGTTTAGAGTGAAACTGAATACAGTGTTATAATTCATTTTTGTTGTTCAGAGATTAGGATAATACTCTGCAGCAACCTTGCTCACCAAAAAGGCTCAGCTGAGCTGGCTTCTTGTGCTAAGAACTGAAGAGAATCAGAATGCATGCTTTTTCCAGTCTTATTTAGTATTATTTATACTAGGAATGTTTGAAGGGGCTTTATACAAGTTTTTTTTTTTTCTTTATGAGATCAGGTCTTAGGTGTAGCCCAGGCTAGCCTCAAACTCATGGTAACCCTCTTGCCTACCCAGTGCTGGGGTTATAGGCATGTGTTACAGCACCAAAATAATCTTTTTTAAAAAAAAATATGGCTAAAAAAGTCTGATGGGGTCAGACATGGAGACAGTGGTGGTGAAAGACAAGGTGGATCCCTAAATAGCCAAGAAAGGGGACACTGACAGAAGGAAAGTCATGGGAGTCTCCTTATCTGAGAGTTCTATCTTATTGATCTTACAAGTCAAAGATCACATCACTCACCACTGATATGCAAGGCAGGCACAGGATGCATTCTCACTAACAGTGTAACTTTCCTGTTTGAACCAATCTGGAGATGGTTCAAAGAGCAGGCTCCTGGCAGGGGCAACACAATACACATACTATATGGTATTTGCTAGCCTTGCGAAGCCACCTGTAAATTCTGACTCTCCATAAATATTCTAGATGGATTTCTCCTGTCTGAACACAAATATATACTTCTCTCAAAGCTAATGGTTTCTTTGAATCAAGTGTTTCATCCAAGACCCAAGAGTTTAATATCAGAAAGGCACTTGTGTTGGGAAAAACAATTCAAGGAAGCGTTATTTTGATTTTTGGCTAGTATTCGCCATTTCCCGTCAAAAATTGTTTTCCCATCTGAAAGACTAATGGGATAAAAGGAGCTGAGGCATTAGGGACTTGAAAGTCAAGGGTTTTCATCATTTCCAACACATATTTCTGACAGCCTCTTCCTGGTAGGTCAGGGTTTAGCCCCAGGAGGCTTTTCTCTCTGACTCAGGGGGACCTGGGTGGACCTTCCGCTCAGGTGTCCCCAGTTCCTCTTTTCTAATTGAGCATGATGTCAGCTAACAACATTATTTGCTTTGGAAAGAAATTTTGCCAGCCTGGAAAGACCTCTTGCAAAGGTTGAGGGGGAAGGACTGGGTGTGTTGGAAAGAAGAGTTGAAATTCTTGTTTGTTATCTGGAAATAGAAAGTTCTAAGCCACACACTTGCACATTTAAAAAAAAATTACCTATAGGCGACCGATCTGGAGGTCACTACAGAAGGGTGTAAGAATCCCTTTGGGAGAGAAACTAGGCAAGAATAAAATCAATTTAGAAGGCTCTTTCTGCTTGGTGTTTTAGATGCTGGTTCCTGGGTCCTGACCCAGGCGCCACCTGCTCTTTAAGCCAGGTTGTCCGATTGTTTTCCTAATTAACAAGCATGGCTGTGGTTTCCTATGGAGTCCTGGTTCCTCTCCTCCCCGAAGCTGCTAGTGTGTGCAGGTTGCATGCCAGTCTCATGCTTGGCCTTTTGTGTGGACAGGTTGCCTCCTCTTCATCATGCTGGGGATCCCTAGACCCAACCACTCTCCTTGCCCCACTAGACTGGGGCCTCCCTGAGATAAGAAAGCAAATTAGTCTCTTGGAGAGGGACTATCTGTGTGTGGAGTTGTGGGGTTTGAGACTTCGCTCTCCAGACAAAAGCAAGCAGAAAGGGTCTGCAGTGTGGTGGTCATTCAGTGGTTTGCTGAGGCAAGGGTGGAGGGAGCCCCAGAGTCCCCCAGTTCTTAGATCCGTAGGCCAATGCTCAGCTCCTAGCGCCTCCTCCCCTCCAGCATCTGCCTCTCCTGGACCCGGGACTCTCAGCTTCAGGCCAGAATTTACAAGAATGAGAAAAGCCTGACTGGAGCCTGTTGGTGACAATAAGGAAACTTATGTGATGATCCCTTCAGAGTTGAGTCCCAGAGTAGCTGTGGGTGGGTCTGGGCTGATCTTCAGGTTGGGTAAGGAGTAGATAGTAGGTCTTGAAGTGCTGGAGCTCAGGGATCGAGAGTCTCCAGTTCTCTTAGTCTTTCATTCTAGTGAGCGGGGTCTGATTTGGGAGACTTGAGATTTTGGGGTGCTGAGAATACCAAGTCCAAGAAGCACAGTCTTTGTTAGCCAGCGAAACAGTCCCCGCTCCTCGGACCCTTGGAACCACCAGCTTACTCCTTTGGCAGTCACTAGGGTTTGTGCTTTTCCCTCTCACAGGCCGTGAAGTCAACAAACTCCCCACATGGTGGCTCCCTTTACTAAAGTTGAGTGGTGAATTCGCAAGGAGTCTTGGAAATTTTCAAATATTTCTCCAGAATGGACTCTGGAATTCATGTGGGAGGAAAGAGGATTTTAACGGGATTCACCTTTGACGTGAAGTGAGACAGAACACAGGAAAGCCACAGCAGGTCTTAGCTGTGGGCACCTGAGTGAGAAAGGCATCGCTGCGTGATGATCTAGTTCTGTTCCCCAGAGGTTCTCTGTGTGTGAGCAGAGGACCTGCACACACTGCAACTGAGATCCACTGACACACACAGCAGAGACAAGGAGGTACATCCCATGTCAACGTGGCTTGAAGCATACGGAAGGGAGGCACTTAAGCATGGGTTGGAGGAAGCTAAGAAGTGGCAGGTGGTTTTTGGGTGATTCATGGAACAAGCAAAACTTCACCTTCTTGGAGGAAGCATTTCATCTCAAAGAGTGGGAACAGCACTGAGAATGAGAAGGGGCTTGGAAAAAGTATTCGGAACTAACACTGCTTATTTAAATATTAGATTCAAATCATAGTAACTGGAAATACTCTCAGTTAACTGACACTCCTTCTATTTTGTGTAAGAGCCAATAATTAAAATGCATATTAATGGCTATTGATGTGTCTATTTCCTTTTAAAAAGAAATAGAGCCAAGATCATTTTCTGGAGCATACATTTATGACTCTTTTTGAATTACCTGGGGACTTGTAAGGTTCAGGGTGGATGGTCTTCCCCCATTACATTCCCTTTCCCATGTCATTTTCAATTAAAATAACTTAACATTCCCAAGGGAGGGATTTCCATTAGAAACCCTTAGCAAAGGAACTTGTACTGGGAATCCTGCTTTCTCAAGTCTGCCTGTATTTTCCCCAAACAGAATTTAACTTGTAAAAGGAAGTGCAAAACGCTTATTTCTCACCCCCCAAATTCTTAAAATTTCAGTTCTTGTGGGAAACATGATGTCACAGTTTCAGTTTTTAAAATCAGTGAAAGGAACAGAAAGTGTGAAGCTGTACAAACAGGAAATCCAGAGATCCAAGTACCAAGTCTAACCAGAGACATGGAATGCTGTTCTCAGCATTAGGGCGTTCACAGGCGACGAGGGAGGGACATGTGAACAGCAAGGTGCGTTAGACAGTGAATTGTGGTCTTAGCAAACCTTCAGATTGAGGGGCTGTGTGAAAATTAGCCCAGCGACAATTTTCAGTGCTTGCACCATCAGCGGCCAAGCAGTTCAGCACCAGGAGCCTGGACAGCTCCACAGGCCCGCGCTCTTGGAACCAGCCTTGGTTTAATCTCCTCCTAGCCAGACTATAAACCACTGCCAGACTCATTAGAGATTTACTGAAAGGCTTCCAAGACTTCCCTTTAAAAACAAAACGACTTCCACATTTAACTGTCCATCTGAAAGAACATACGCAAGAAATTAGGAGATCTAAATTAAATTTATTAATAGGAGAGCTTGATGGTGCTTCATTCCAGGGACCAGAGCTTTCATTGGTAAGGCTTGATTAAAAAAAAAAAATAGGAAAAAGAAACAGTATGGAGATAGCTAAAAACATGACTTTTACCACCTTAGAAATTCTACAAATTCTTTACCCATCCTTGAGGAATGGGTAAAACTGAAAAACCATCAAAATAATTAGACTTCTTAACAATTGGATTGTATGAGTGAAAGGTGTTTATGAGAAGGCGATGACTCCGGATCTTATCATCCTAGAGGACAGAATAGTTAATACATTCCTTGAGGGACTTGGATGCTGACGTCTTTTTTTCTGATACCCGATCATTACGTGACTGAAAAAAAAAAGGGAAGTCATTTCATGAATAAAAATCGGAGCGCAACAGTGCAACAAAATATTCTGTACTTCAAGGCGAGACGCAGGCAGATGTTGACAAAGACGCCGCCGCTCCTACAACCATGTTCAGATACAATTTTTGCTAACTGCATATATAAACACGAGCAGAAGGCCGGGCCTCTCTGTAAGCACCGGCAGCACCAGAAGAAGCTGCATCTTCCGACGCAGCCAGAAGGACCTCAGAACAGAGCCGGAGCTGCGGAGTCTCGCAGCTGCCTGGCCGGGCTGCCCCAGAAGCCGCAGCGCTCAGCCGCCCTCTCCTCTCCCCTCCTCACCCTCTCCTTTCACTTTCTGTCTTTTTCTTAATCGCTTGCTTTTTTTCTCCCCGCGGACTTACAGCCACTGGGCTCCCCCTCCCCTTGGCGAGTCGCCTCCTCTCTCTTTCTGTTCCTTCTCCATCTTCCTCACCCCCTTCCTCGTCTCCACGTCGCGCTTCCTTCCAGTTCCGAGCTTCTGCAAACTTTTGAGCACAATCCTAAAGCCTCAGCAAACAAGTCCTCCGGCTCCGCCTGCTGCTCCCGCTCGCCCTGCGGCTTCCCTTCAGATCCCGAAGCCAGATGGTGAAGCCTCTCGGCTTCTGACTCCGGCGCAGAAACTTGAAAGAGCCCTTTGCCCGCCGTCCTACTTGGCAGCGGATCCCCTCCTAGCAGCGGTAAGAGTTGAATACGAAGGGGGAAAAATCTCACCAAAGCAAAGACTCCCTGGACTGCTGCTCTCTTCCCTTCTTTGGCATCGGCATAGGGGTGAGAATTAGCTTTCTTCCCCCGTGCCAGGTCTGGCTAGTTACTGGGCGCTGGGTGGATGCGTGTGTGTGTGTGTGTGTGTGTGTATATATATATATATATATATATATATATATATATATTTTTTTTTTTTTTTTTTTTCCTCCCTGACTCAAGCAAGCGAGAAGTGGCAGGGCGCGCGCCGGCTGACGCCAAGTGTGTTGCACGCAACAGCCGAGCTCCGCTCCCTCCTCCGGTCCCGAGAGTTTCTTGGGGTAGGAAGCTGGAAGGCCAGGGGCTTTCTCACGGCTTTGCCCTCTTTTCTGTCCTGCGCAGAATGACCATGTGCAGCGGAGCGAGATTGGCCCTGCTGGTCTACGGGATAATAATGCACAGCAGCGTTTACTGCTCACCTGCAGCCGCCGGACTCCGGTTCCCTGGGATCAGGTAGGTTCTGGGTGCCTGGGATGAGCTGAGGTTCCCTTCGCCGGATACCTCCTCACGGTCGCCCTCCTGCCGTTCCCCGGACACAGGTTACTAAGCGCCACTCTCTCTGCGCCTCTAGTGCGCCTCTCCCAGTCTTGGCTGCTCTAGGGCCCGGGGTAGCTAAGCAGGGGCGGAGTAGGCTCGCCAAATCTCGGGGCCACTCTCTGAGTGAGCCCCAAGCAGCCGGGGCCCGGGGAGAGAGAGCGAGCCTCCAACCTTTGGCGAAACCTCCCCTCCCCCAGCCGGGCCCCAGGAAGGGGGCAGGCTGAGCCCCCAGTGGCGACGCTTTGACCAGTTCTCAGGACGAGTTCAGAGAACTTCATTCAGCTCCTAGAGACAGGCTGGGCGCAGAGCGGGTGGCTCCCTGGGACTTTGCTTTGTTACAGCTTATTCTGGGCTATTGGGGCGGGGTCTCTCTCTCCTCCGCCCTTCCTCTTCACCTCATTCGCATTCCTTCCCCAGAAGAGCTTTTTTCCAAGCGATCCGGTTCCAACTGCATTTTTGCGTCCCGGACTGCCTTGGGGAGGAGAAGTGTAGGCCGGCTACGATTAAGGAAAAGACTCGGGAGAAGGAAGCACAAGAATGAGACTGCACAAGAAGGGAGGGGAAAAGATGAGTGCGAGAGAGGAGGAAGGGAAAGCAGGCAGGCAGGCGGGACCCAGAGGACAGCGGTGCCCGTCTCAGGACCGAGAAACCCTGGCTTTTCCTTAGCCTCCGGTTCCTAAGGGGTCGGCGCGGTGGGGTTTCCCAGCGCAGCCCCAGAACCCCCGCCGGGGTGCCGGACAGTGGAGGTGCACAAGGCAGCCCGTGGCGCTGGCTTGGAGTGCGCAGCACCAAGTAAAGGGGCTCCTCCGAGCCGCGCCCAATAAAGATAGCCTCCGAAAGACCGCCACAATGGGGAGACTAACTTCTATTTGGATTTCAGCATCTGGGTATAGGGTAGGACGGAAAGTGGCTGAACTATCTGGGTTGGGGCACCAAGGCCAGGGCAGAGGCCCGAACCCGACCGAGGGAGGAATGAGTTTGGGGCAGGTTGAAAGATGCGCTGGCCTCGCTCTGGCCTCTCCAGGGATGCAGGGCAGACAAGGGGAGTACGAAGCACCACGCGAGCCTGCCCATAGCATGCCACTTGTGCTGGCCGCATTCTGAGTCTCTCCGATGGGGCTTTGTGTTTTAACGCACTCCTCTCCGTCCTGTGCAAGGGTGCTTTGGACAGTAGGTACGGTGATCTATTTACTCAGTAGACTTAAAAGCCCTCCCATTTCCTCCTCGGTGTTTTCAAAGTTCCGCGTGCCTGGCACTTTCCCGGGGCGAGAGGCACTGGAGCGCTCAGGCACACCACAGAAATGAGCTGCCACCGAACCTGCTAAGTTTAGGGGCATCTATTATTCATGTTCCTGCCAGATCCTCTCCCGCCCAAAATAGAAGCTGGAGGTTCTCTGTGACCTATATCTGCGCAGGGAAGGGCTCCCCAGGGCTCCCGGGCTCGGGCGCGGAGCTGGCCGCAGGCCCCCCCCCCCATCCTCCCCTGCCGGTCCAGACCTCCTCTGGGTCTTGGCACGAGTCTGCGTCTCTTCTCCTGGAACCTTTCCCGTGCGCACCCGCCCGCTGCTACGTGAGAAGGCTTGCAAGCCGGGGAGTGTGTGTGTGGGGTCAAGTGTGCTTGGTCTGCAGGGGTTCCTCCGTTTCCCAGAACACGTGGAGGCTGCGATTCTGCAGGCAATCTTTCTACCCCACTACAGGGGTGGGCGACCAGCTTGAGGAGTGGGAATCTCTGCTCCCACCCCATCCTGAAAGAAAAGTTTTTCGAGAGGGAGCCTTCGTGGAGAAAGTGCATCTGTGTGAGTCCCGTTCTTTGGGTCGTCTCAGAAGTGGGGAGGGACTCGGGAGTGACCATTCCTTCTGGCTACCCCGCAGACCGGAGGACGAGGCGTACGACGAGGACGGAAACCCGCTGCAGGACTTCTACGACTCGGACCCGCCGGGCGCAGGGAGCCCCGCCTCCGCGCTGCGGGACGCCTACGCGCTCTACTACCCAGCTGAGCGCAGGTACAGCTGCCCGGGAACCGCGGGGTGGGAGGGCAGGATGACCCGTCACCGAGAAAGTCCTCGAGCCTCTGTTTTCCTTGGCCCGATCTTGAGAGCGACAAAAAAATTAGTAGCGGGCGGATGGGGAAGACCTGGTGGCTGCGTGGGGACCTGAAGGTCGGCGGCCCGGGAGTGTCAAGGAACGTACGCGCGGGCAGGTCCGGAGCCTGACCTCCTCCCGGGCCATCTCCGGAGGCCAGGACTGGCTCTGGACTAGGACCTTCGTTCTCCGGAACTGCCCAGCACTTCTCAAGTCCTGAGCCCCTAAGCTGTGCCGTCACCTTGCGGGACGCGGAGGGCCGCGCGCTCCCAGCAGGGGTCTCGGGCCGCCCCTTGGTGGCGATGGGGTGCGAGGTCGTGACCCTGGGTGCACGCGCACTTTGCCTCCCTGTTTAGAGACGTCGCCCGCGGGATCCTTAACCAAGCGTACCGCAGAGTGCTGGATCAGCTGTCGGCCAGGAAGTACCTGCAGTCCCTCGTGGCCAACGGCGTGGGGTAAGAGTAAGCGAAAGAGTTAACGGTGCGTGACGGCGCGCGGGGCGGCTCCTACGTCCTGCGTGCACGTGGCCAGGGTGTGGCCGCGTCCGGGGTCTCGGGGTGCTGCCGGCGGCCGTGGCCACTTGGGCGGAGATTTTGAAGGGTTGCTTTAGATCTGGAGGGAAGCTCGGAGGGCCCGAGACCCGGTGAGAGGGAAAGGGGAGGAAACCGGGGATTTTGATCTTTCTGAATTATAAGAAAAGAATCTTCATTCTCCAGCCATTCATAACCTGCACGGTTCGCGGGAGGATTTGCTATCGTTTCCTCTAAACTTGATGTTTTTTGTGGGGATGAGGGAGGGCGTTGGAGTTACTATAAATTCCAATCGAAGTAAACAAAACACGAAATCTGGATTCTTAAGGAAACCAACGTTTTTTTTTTTTTTTTTTTTTTTTTTTTTTTTTGCTCACGCTAGGACAGACCCAGAGTTTGGAGTGTGTGAAACCTGTCTCAGCAGAAGGCAGCGTTTCAATAAAGTCCATGGGGAAACAGATTGCATTTTCGCAATGAATAATGCATGCGTTGAAAAATATTGCCCGTAGACTGTCGACTCACATTATTATCACATTTTCCAACTTGGCATGTGGAAGGAGTGCTGGTGTCGGGCCAGGCATTGCAGGGTCGAGCTAAGCGCCAGGGCAGCTGCAGGCGTGGCATTTAGGACCCTCCTGGTATTTGCTTTTCAGGTCGGGGGAGGCGGGTGGCGAGAGGAGCAGTGAAGACAGTTTATTGCAAGGCACCGATGGTCAGATCTTATAAGGCGGTGTTTGGAGAAAGGCTGAAATTCCGCGTCTGTTTTTCAGATCTCGTCCTGGGCGCTCTAGTGCCAGGAAATCCTGGGTGGCAGGGAGAATCGAGGGGTTTCCATCTCAGCCCTGCCCCTGGCGCGGGAAAGCGGCCCTGGGCGCAGCGCGAGCCAGGTCCCCTCCCCGAAGGCACTGGTGAGGTGCCTGCGCCCCAGCGCCTTGCTGGAGTCTCCCTCCAGGTCACCCTGTTATCCACTCCTTTTCTTGCAGTGGGGACGTAGGCGGCGGCGCGGAGGAGGAAGACGACGAAGACTCGGAGCCGCTCTCCAAGCGCCACTCGGACGGAATCTTCACGGACAGCTACAGCCGCTACCGGAAACAAATGGCTGTCAAGAAATACTTGGCGGCAGTCCTGGGGAAAAGGTATAAACAAAGGGTTAAAAACAAAGGACGCCGAATAGCTTTTTTGTAGCAATGAGTTACCAGCTTCCCTGTGTATACAACCCTGACACAATGAAAAGTCGTTTTCCAAACTGACCAAACCAGTCATCGCTCGTGTGTTCTATCCAAACATGTATTTATGTATGAAGTAAAGCCATTAAATGAATATTTTGATAATAATAATTGTTTTTTCTTTTTACAAAGCACTAGAGAATGCACAGATATACTTTGTGGACCAATTATTGATACTATCTTATAAACATAGATTAAGAGTATATATATAAGTATAATAGAGAGCAGTTCATACAGAGCGTGCACAAGGATTGAAAATTCGCCTGAGCTGTTTATGTTTTTATATAAAGTAAATAGAAAAAATAGACAATCATTGTTTTGAATATTAGTCCTATTTTTGTAAACTGGAATTAAAAGGATAGTATTTTTATCCGCAACAGGGCTGAAGATGTTAATATTGACCATTTGCTACTGTACATACACAATGACGCCCTGCTGGGGGAGGTTCTGAGGAGTGGTTTGCAGAATCGCTGAGGGGCTTCTCTCCTAGTGAGCCTCTGGGGCTGGCCCTTCAGTCCCTGCCTCCCTCCATCCGGTGGGCACCGTCCTGCGGGCTGGGTGGCAATCCCAATACTTTTGCTTTCTTTGATTCTACTTTTTATGTAATTTGTCTCTCTTCAGACTCTCAGCCCAGAAGGAAATTCTAATAAAACAACAGCTCAATTCAAATTGTGCTTCTCCCCAGAATTCATGCCACTCCCTGGGGGAGGAGTTGAGGAATTGTACAGAGGAGGGAGGCTTGGATAGGAAGCTCTCTTTCCTGTACTTCCAGATTCACCAGGGACTGTACTATCCCAAGGTTAGGGCAATTGGAACAAAATGAAAGAAATGGAGTTTTATTGGAAGAGGCAGAGCAGAGGCAGAAGAGGAGGACCCTGGAGAGGGACGGTTTGAGCAGCCCCCACCTCCCAGTCCGGCTGTCTGGGGGCAAGTCCAGTGCACTGCAGTCCAGTCCGCTGCCTGTCTGACTTGGGATGCTGGGTATTGGAAATGGATGCAAAGTACAATGTGTTTTTCTCAGTGCTGTCCACGCTTCTCATCTTGTGAAGTGGCCAGGATCCTCCCCTTTGAGCCCTGCTTTGTAAAAAGCCACCGTTTTCCTTCCTGGTTTTTCTGGAGACCCCTCCTTCCTATCCTCCTGCGCTGTTTAAGGACTGTTTACCATTTTATTTTCATTTGCTTCTTTTAAACTTGTGAATGCTTTTCACTTTTGGTTGTTTGATGCAAGCAGCTACTGTAAAGCTTAGGAACTCCTGTGTAGCTACCAGTGAGTAATTATGCACTAAATACGAACTTTCTGTTTCTTGTTTATTGAGTTTGTAGGTAAAATGTATTTTTCTACATTCTGGCTTATTGCTTAGTAAAATTTATTTCATAAAATCAATCTTTGTCATAATAGAATGTGTAGTTGTCACATGTTGCTCAGTTTTACTGATAAACCATTGAAACCTCATCTTCTCATGTATGAGTACTATCTTATATCTGTGACCAAGAGCAAGGTAAGCAGCTCACACAACCCACCCTTGTATCTTTCCTTGGCTAAAGAAAGCATGTCTGTTTCCTGTCAATTTCTTCAACATATAGAATAATCTCTATAAACAAAGAACCTTCACCCAGCAACCAGATCAAGCAGCAACAGACAAACCAACCAGTTTCCCAAATTTCAGAACACAAATTTTTGTGGGGGGGGGGAGAGAAAAAATTTAAGTATCTCATGTATAAAAGTTTAAAAGACCTTTCTTTTTTCTTTATGGATTTGATCAGTATGAAATCGTACATGAAAGAAAACAGAATTGTATTTGCATTCCCAGATGGGGATGGATGCTGCCAGAGATCACATTGCGAATGGTGAAATAAAGAGGCATTTGCTCTGGGCCTGAGTCCTGGCCGCAGGATCAATCTTTCTTTAATTCTGCAGTCTCCTCAGGCAATGTGACCCGGGATGCGGTTTGCAGCTTTAGTGCCTTTCTTCGCCTTTTAAATCGCCACGAATCACAGATGGCTATTTAGTGGCCCTACAATGCTGCAGCACATTGGCTTGCATTTTAGTCTTAATTATTTGTCTCTTGGATAATGGGCAGAGTTTTCTGTATTTGTGTCAGCTGTCAGTGGTGAAATATGGCTCTAGTTAACCTTTTATTTATGAAGTCTAATCTAGTGTGCCCGTGGCTAGCTGCAATCATTTTACAGTGATCACCCAGTTTAATCTTTTGTATACTTTTTAGAAATGCCAAGAGCCTTACTACCAGGAGCAGAGTTATGATATAGTGATAATTTAGGTAGATGTTAGTCTTGAAGCTCTTATTTTGTGTGCAACTGATTATAAAAACATCTTAACCAAGTATTATGACACACATGATATCTATAACTAGGACTTTGATAACTGTTATATAAAGTGTGTAAAATTTGTATGAATAAATTTTTGTAAACAATGCAACTTGGTCTAATGTTTGGACAAAAAAGATATCCAAGAAATAACTACTTTAAAATCTGAAAGTATTATATTTCTTTAGCAATCCTGAGATATTTCATGTCTGGAATATATATCTAAGCATCCATGTATTTTCATAAGCTGTACTCTAATATCTGCTTGATGGGTTACTGGATTCAACTAAAAATTTAAAGTGGTCACTCATAGGGAGATGCCAAACAGATATAAAGCCCATAAACAGACATGGGTGTCATTTATATGACACACTGTTTACATCAATTTCCAACTCCCTAGTGTATAGAGGTACATTGCTCAGTATGTAGAAAATTACTAGATGACAGACACTACTGGATAATTAATTACACTTCTGAAATAGCTCTTTGACGTTGTTCTTGTAACTGTATGCTAAATGGGTCTGGATAAAATTTTATATAAAATGATTTAAACAATCAATTTTGGAGCTTTTAAATGTGTTAGAGATATGCAAAGGTATCTCTGACTAAAATGTTTTGGATAGAAGGAGCAAAAGCAAGATTAAGAGTTAACTAGACACTTTAAAAGAAAATGTACTTTGATTCTTAGGACAAAATATGAAAAATAATTTGCATATTTTATGCTTTATTAGTTCATATTAAACTTTAAAGCAAAATCTCCATATAAAATTCCCATAGATTCCCTAGTTGGTGTGTTTTTGGAGCTCTTGACTATTTCTGGGTTAAAAAAATGTATTAAAAATCACTTAGAAGTCATACCAGTGAATTTGAAGTGCCAGTTTTCATCCTAAAACACGAATGTATTCATGTAATAAATCAATAAATGTTGTAGTAGTATTAAAGGGTCAGCAAGGAGTCAAAAGTTGTTTTTAGAACTTAGTTCAGCCTCTGAAGCCCAGAATCGTGGAGTGAGAGCCCACAATCTAGAAATCTTATTTGAAGTTAAAAAATGAATACTGTCGCCAGTGGAGTGCTAACATGGTAAATGGAGACATGAAGAATTTATTTAGTTGAAGACTAAGGGTTTGTCGAGATTAAGGATAAGTCCCAGACTTGGCTGACATCAAGGGAAGCTCATATACGTAGCAACTTGCTTTGCTTTCTTATGTGGTATAACACCAATCATGGCTTTTCATAGGAAGACTTCATATAGTTGGGAGCCAAAGAAGCCATACTAAATGCCTTACTGATACTTGGGCTGGGAAGACGCTGGTCTGTACATACATGAATTTATCAAACCCTTGAAATGGGACACACCTGGAAGGAAGGTAGCATTTTTTTTTTCTAGCAAATGCATTTCTGGGAGAACTTAGTGTTGTAAAATATAGGGCTCTGTCAGAACCAATGAATCTGCGTTTTCAACCAAAATGCTCCATTAACGTGCACCGAAGATTGAGACCATGTAGATTTAGCATTTGGTAATACATAGCTATCTTGGGCTGGATATTTTTTCACATTAAACAGGTGGACATGCTCCCCGAAAACAATAATAAATACACCAATAAGCCATATTCTCCCAAAATGGACATTAGGCTCTTGGAAAATTGTGGTATTTTGTAAGTCACTAAGGCCTTTATTAGTACTAACATTGTGGTTAGCCCTCTGTGTTAAAGACACTTCTGGGAGGAGAGTGATCCTCTGAGTGCAAAAAATTTAATCACATGACGAAGAAATCAAAGCTGTGATAGACAACCAGTGCAGCTAGCTGGTATTAATTCTGGGGATCCAAAAGTGAGCTGCTAAGTGCATCATACCCTAGTTTGGTTTAATGGATTCTCCCCAATTTCAAAGTGTTTACCAGGTGATTTCACTAGAACACTCTGATGGCCTCGAACTAGGTCTTACTGTTGATACCAACACACGGTTAGAAACCAAAGCCTGCTGGCCTTCTTCTCTGTCCTTGACCTTTTTGAAGAAAGGAGATGCTTGCCTCCCTTACTGCTGCTCCTGGCCTCTTATACTGGTTTGGAACTGGTCATCCTGGATTTGGTCATTGTCTCTTCAACCTGGTGGTTTTATCTCTTCCCTAGTCTCCTGTCCCTCTGATGAGATGTTCCAGAATAGTCCTGTTGTCACAGGGCTCGGTGTTCTTTGGTTGTCAGTCTCTGTTGTCCCAGAAGATCCTTGTTCTCTAGAAGCACAGGTTCCTATCAGGCTTTGATATGCAAATACTTCTTTTCTCTGTCCAGTGATCCCACTGTCCTCAGACCTGGAATGTCTTCTGTGCCTATCATATAATATCCTGTCAGGTCCAACAATTTAAGCCATTTTTTCTGGGAGTCTCCCTCAGCCTCTCAGCATCACTGAGACATTCCCTCAGTGATGTTCACTTCCCTCCCATCTGCCCCTGCACTGTTTCCCTGGGACCCTTACTTTTTGCATTGCCACTTCTGATCATTAATCCCACACTATTCTGCCCCGTGCCTTAGCAGCTTTATAAGTGCATGGCCGGTTCCTAGCTAGATGACCTCTTGGAGGGCATGGATGATATGTTACCCTCTTCATGTCACTTCTGGAAACATAAGCAACATCTGTCTGTCTGCTGTGTGTGTGTGTGTGTGTGAGATACATATGTGGTATTGGAGTAGGAACTCAGGACTTTTGCATTAGCTACACCCTGGCCCTTTTAATTTTTATTGTAATTTTGAGACAGTCACAAAGTTGCCTAGGCTGTGCTGGCATTCTGCCTCAGCCTCCCCAGAGTGCTGGGTTCACAGTTGTGCTACCTTGCCTGGCAGGTGTACCTTTCCTGAATAAATAAATTAACCAGAAGACTTGCAGAATTCACGATGATATTTCCTTCATGTTCTAATAGGATAGCTGCAAAACACATATAGGAAGTGGAACTGGCTTGTTAATTAGATGCTCATCATGAATGCAACTCCAGCTCCCTTTAGGAAAAGCTGCTATGTAGAAAAGAAAGGCAAATTAATTAAATATGTTTCTGCCGTAGGATAAAGTGAACTTTAATTGTTCAGGTAAGCAAAGCTTGCATAGGCTCAGGTCACACAGGCCTTTATTTTTTTCATTCTGATGAAGAGAAGGAGGTTCATATTTTCAAACTAAACAGAATTCATTGCATCAAGACAGTAATCATACATTTTCAAGAATAAAGGGGAGGGACATAGCGAGACACAGCCTGGGACTGGATTGACCTCCAAGTGATAACAGAGTGGTTAGCGACGCTGCTGAGGAGACTTCTCCCATCCACTGAGGTGTAATTTGAATAGACAAGAAAAAGGACATAACAGAGGGGTACTATTTAAAACAACCCTAGAACAGTAGTAGGTGATGTCGTGTAGTCCAAGCTAGTTTTTTCTTTAGCTATGCCTTTGTACATTATAGAATCCTAATTTGGGATGGACCATTACCTATAAATCACAAAATAATTCATGTGTATTTGTGGACATTTCTCTTTCTCTTAATTACTCTCATTTTCCTCCTGCTACTCTCACTTTCCTCCTGCAGGGAATGGATTTTGTGGGGATTCTTAATCGTCTTTTTTTTTTTTGTTTTTGTACCCAGGATTGAACCCAGGGCCTTTGCACTGAGCTACATCCCCAGCCATTTTATTTTTAAATTTTTAGACAGAGTCTCATTAAATTGCCACACTGTCTAGACTGGACTTGAATTTGTGATCTTTCTGCCTCAGCCTACCAGAGTTCTGGGATTACGGGTATGTGCCACCAGGCCAGGCTATTTCTAGATATAACTAATCAAGATAATTGAATCCTCTGATCCTCGTTCATAAGATCATGGTATGTGATCTGTTTTAGGATAGTGGGATTAGAGAAGATATTTTTTTTCCTAGATCCAAGAAGAATGTTTATTTCTCTCTTTCTAAACAATGTGGTATGTGATGCAGCACACTGTCTATATAAAAAACTAGCTTCATGTGGAACCAGTATTACAGAAGATGAAGCAGTGACAGGACAATTAAGGTCCCCGACAGCAGTGTGGAGCCCTTGAATCAAACCAAAGCCAAAACGGCCAGTGGACTTTTCCCGTTAGGCTGATAAATGCCCTTACTGCCTAAGCTAGTTTTGTTTTGTTGTAGTTAGGACCCGTGTGCACATAGTAATTCCCATGGTTTATGATCATCAGAACACCGCAGAGTGTTCCAAAGTCTCCCCAGCCTCTGCTAAGATTTTACCCTGACCTTTCATTATTTACGAAATGCACCTAGCAGTGATCGCTAGTAACTCTTTTTAGCTAGAGGAAGAGCTAGCTTTTGAGGTGGCCTCATTGTCCTCAGCTGTCCCCTCTGTTACATCTTGTTTTGAAATTCTGTACTCTGACGACAAACTCCAGTCCTATCCCTGCTGCCCCTCCCTGGATACCTAAGAAACTTGTGTTAAAACTCTAGTTAGTTATTGTTACTCTCCTGTTATCTTGTTTTGAAATTGTTTTATTTTTTCTTCTTTTTATATAAAAAACAACCCAAAAGACAAATCAGTGGGGGCTCTAGCCCCCTGTCTCCCTGTCCTCCAGGGCCCCAGGCCTGCCATGCCTTTGTTCCTCCTCTGTCCCTTCTTGTGTCAGTTGGGTGACCCTCCGTGTTTGCCTCCCTCACTGTCACACTCCTGGAGCTTGGATCAGGAGAGTACTTTGTCCTGGCTATTGAGGGGCACTGGGAAATGGATGTGTTGTGGTTCTGCACCACTATCAGTGATGAGCATCTGTGTGTCCCTTCTAAAAGGCTCTTATTTCCATCTTTTGTATGTGTTTGCTTCAAGCTTTAGAAGCCCAGTGTGTCCTGCCTTTTGGATTTTGAAAACCGAACCAAACCAAATCAAACATCCCGGGTGTTTTCACCTCATCCTACACATATGCATTTTGTTTTAAACTTCAAATTTCCATCTCAATTTCTGGTTATGTTTCCTCTTGTTATTGGAGTTTGTTTGTATTCAGTTGTGTCATACTTACCAAATCCAGTATCTTCAGAGTTCCATCGTATATCATTTTCCCTGCTTTTCAAAATTAGTATACGTCTGTGAAACAATTGTTACGTTA